GACAATGGGGAAAATGTCTCCAGGGCATGTCAGAGGTCTTCACAGCAGCCCCTCCCATCACAGGCCTGGAGACCTAGAAGGAAAAAATGGTTTTGTGGGCCAGGCCCAGGGTCCCCATGCTGTATGCAGTCTGGGGACTTGGTGCCCTGTGTCCCAGCTGCTCCTTTTAGCCATGACTAAAAGGGGCCAAAATACAGTTTGGGCCATGGCTTCAGAGGGTGCAAGCCCCAAGCCTTGGCAGCTTCCACATGGTGTTGAGCCTACAGGTGCACAAAAGTCAAGAATTGAGGTTTGAGAACCTCTGCCTAGATTTCAGAGGATGTATAGAAATGCCTGGATATCCAGGCAGAAGTTTGCTGCAGGGCCAGGGCTGTCAAGGCAGTGCAGAAAGGAAATGTGGGGTCAGATCCCCCACACAGAGTCCCTACTGGGGCACTGCCTAGTGGAACTGTGAGAAGAGGGCCACCATCCTCCAGACCCCAGAATGGTAGATCCACCAACAGCTTGCACCATGTGCCTGGAAAAGCCACAGGCACTCAACACTAGCCTGTGAAAGCAGCCAAGTGGGAGGCTGTGCCATGCAGAGCCACAGGGGTGGAGCTGCCCAAGACATGGGAACCCACCTCTTTCATCAGCATGACCCGGATGCAAGACATGGAGTCAAAGGAGATAATTTTGGAGCTTTAATATTTTACTGCCCTGCTGGATTTCGGGCTTGCATGGGGCCTGTAGCCCCTTTGTTTTGGCCAATTTCTCCTACTTGGAATGGTTGTATTTACCCAATGCCTGTAACCCCATTGTATCTAGGAACTAACTTGTTTTTGATTTTACAGGCTCATAGGCAGAAGGGACTTGCCTTGTTTCGGATAAGACTTTAAACTGGGGACTTCTGAGTTAATGCTGAAATGAGTTAAGACTTTGGGGGACTGTTGGGAAGGCATGATTGGTTTGAAATGTGAGGACATGAGATTTGGGAGGGGCTGGGGCAGAATGATATGGGTTGGCTGTGTCCCCACCCAAATCTCATCTTGAACTGTAACTCTCACAATTCCACACGGGGTGGAAGGAATCCAATGGGAGGTGATTGAATTATGGCAGCAGGTCTTTCCTGCACTGTTCTCATGATACTGAATGAGTCTCACAAGATCTGATGGTTTTAAAAATGAGAGTTTCCCTGCACAAGCTCTCTTTCTGCCTGCCACCATCAACGTAAGATGTGACTTACTCCTCCTTGCCTTCTGCCTCCCCAGCCACGTGGAACTGTAAGTCCATTAAACCTCTTTCCTGTATAAATGACCCAGTTTCAGGTATATCTTTCTCAGCATCATGAAAACAAACTATTACAACGATAAAGAAGAGCAGTGGAGAGATTATCAGCCCCACTCACTGAAGGTTGACAGGACTGCCCTAACGATATGTACAGGTTACTGTGCCCAAGCTTTATTTCTGAAAAGACAATCAAATCTAACAAGAAAGCTTATAAGAGTTTAAAAAAAACACACACACACACACACACAATCTCACCATCCTAACATTAATTTTTAGTTTTATATGTCTCCTCCCATTGGTACAGGGATTTTTACCTAGCTCTGATTACAGTAATGCACCACTTAATGATGGGGCTATGTTCTGAGAAACGCGTCGTTAGGCAATTTCGTCATTGTGTGAACGTCATGGAGTGCGCTTACACAAACCTAGATGGTATAGTCTACTACCTACCTGGGCTATATGGCATAAGCTTATTGCTCCTACGCCTCAAACCTGCACAGCACATTACTATACTGAATACTGTAGGCAATTATAACACCATGGTAAATATGGCTCAAGCCTGTAATCTCAGCCCTTTGGAAGGCCAAGGTGGGAAGACTGCTTGAGCCCAGGAGTTCGAGACCAGCCTGGGCAACATAGGTTAGGAAGACCCCGTCTCTACCAAAAATAAAACAATTGCCAGGTATGGTAGCATGTGCCTGTAGTCCCAGCTACTCAGGAGGCTGAAGTGGGAGGATTGCTTGAGCCCAGGAGCTTGAGGCTGCAGTAAGCTATGATCACACCACTGCACTCCAGCCTGGGTGACAGAGCAAGGCCCTGTCTCAAAAAGAAAAAAGAAAAAAAAAAAGGACAAAAAATGGTACACCCATATAGGGCATTTACCATGAATATAGTTTGCAGGACTGGAAGTTGCTATGGGTGAGTCCGTGAGTGAGTGGTGAATGAATGTACTGTAGACTTTATAAACACTGTACATTTAGGCTACACTAAATTCATGTGTAAAAATTTATTTTGTCAATAACAAATTAACCTTACCTTACTATAACTTTTTTACTTTATAAATTTTAAAATTGTTTTAATGTTTTGACTCTTTTGTAATAACACTTAGTTTAAAACATAAACACATTGTATAGCTATACAAACTACTGTATTTTCTTTTTTATATTCTTATTCCATAAACTTTTTTATATTTCTAAAAGTTTTTTTTCTTTTGAAACTTTTTAAAAATGAAAAACGAAGAGATAAACGCACACATTAGCCTAGAGCTTCACAGGGTCAGGATCCTCAAGACGTCACTGTGCGATAGGAATTTTTCAGCTCCATTATCATCTTATGGGACCACTGTAGTATATGTAGTAATGTTGTACCACATGACTGTATAACTAGAGACATCTGGTTCTTTTACTGCCAGCTGTGGACAAACAAGAAATGTTGCTGTTGTGGCTGCAGGAAGGCAACCAAATGTTTCTCTAATACTTTGTACAACGTAGTCCTCATGCCCACTATATCTAACGGGTCACAAATATTCATTAACAAAATATAGCAAACCTTTAGGAGTTCACAATCTGGTGAGAGAGATAGGCATCATAGTGCACAGCTGGACATTTTTCCAAATGTCCATTGCTAATCTGTTCATCTTATTCTTCTGTCAAAGCAGTAAGGACAGAAGAAAAGATGTGAGTCATCCCAGAGTCACAGCCCTCTGGAAATCCCTGAAATTCCTTCTTTCCTGTCCCTCAGATCACTGTAAGGGCTTCAAGGTTCTCTCTAACCCTTACAGCTGTCTGAAAACATTTTTTTCTGATATGAGAGCCTCCACCCTCTCTCTAAGGAAAGTAAATCCTTTCTTAGTCAAGTTCTCCTTTTCCACACTCCGGTCTTTCCCTGGAATATCTCCCCTATCCTTCCTCCCTTCTTCCTTTCCCATTATACTTCTCACTGACCCTCAGGAAAATAGCTTTAAAATTTCCCCTCTGGAATGGGGCCCTGTCCACAGAGCACCTACCTTCCGCATAAGTCAGATGTTAAACTCAATTACCTACGAAGGCCAGGCAGAACAGTGTTCTTCTGACTTTGTTTGCACATTAAGTTCACAGAACATTCTCTACTTTCACAAAGAAACATGCTTGTTTTTTCTTGAAACATACAGGCCTTAGTTAAGCTTTCATTTGCACAGTTTTGACAGATAGGGATGCAAGAACTATTTGTTTTTCCTCCCAATTCCACTCTAATGTCAGTAATTGGCAGAGGACCTTCCGAGTAACAAAGAACATATGCTCTCTAAGAGGGCTACTCAGCAGCCACTGTTTGCCAAGTGGAAGATGGGCCTAGTGTTGCTGTGTTGCTAGATCTTCTGACCTTTCAGGAGACAAAAATCCAGATATTTTTATGAAAAATCATGTTTTCAAAATGCTGACAGTTAATTCAAAAGAATTTAAAATGCTCCAAAGTCTCAAGCAAACAAGTTCACAGAGTGAAGGAGCATTGCCAGTGTACAGCTTCTGGCGCTGTTAAGTTTTAATGAGTATTTTATTATCTTTGCTTAATTTACAACAGACAATTATATAATTATGCCTTTGACAGACATCAATAATCTGTTTCTGTATTCGTTCTCCATATTTATAGAGTATTGTGTTTTCTAGCTTATTTCCACAACACATTGTTAATAGTGCCTTAGGCCAAACTACTCTTCTTTCCCAATTATTCTCTTTCTCCCCTACAAAGGGAGTTAAAACAAGGAGCTGTTAAAGCTCGGAGCCAAATAAGAGATTAAATTACATTAGTTTTAAATGGTTTTCTAGAGTGGCTGGAAATTTTTACCAGTAATCTTACTGCAATTCCTGGGTCAGTGAAGAACGGGGTAAATATGATTACCATGCACACACAAACACATCGCTGTGATCAAAACGCAAATCACAGTATGTGAGTCACCACTCCCAACACTGCCGTGTCTCTGCCTTAATAAGCCTGCCAGCCCCATCCAGAGGATTTTTCTCATCTCTGAACTCCAATCACTTACACTTTCCCCCATCAAAATTTACCCTATATTTTATTATAATTGCATATAAATATGCCTTCCTTGTAAGAGCAGGAACTGTGTCTCTCCATTGTACAGCCTGGCACAGTGTCCGGCACACAGTAGGCAAAGCAAGAGTCATTGCACGAACCAGTATCATCATCCAAACAATAGCTACCATTTCCAGAGCACCTACTGTGAGCTGACTAGTTTACCTGCATTATCCTGGTGGCTTTCCCAGACCAGACCACCCAAAACAAAGCAGCCCCCCAGTCACCCTCTAAGCACATAACCCTATTTTAGTTCTCGGAATAGGACTGATTGCTTTCTAACATATTTTGGTCATTTCGGTGTGCTTATTGTCTGTCACCGGTTTCCCTTCACAAGAAGGAAAGCTCCAAGAGGACAGGCATTTTATCTACCTTGTACTTGGCTCATAGCAAATAAATGAATCTAAGCCGCCCACTTCCCTGGGCGACAGAGTTGACCTGCACACAGTAGGTCTCAATGAGTATGTTTTAAATTTTATATTTAGATTTCAAGATAATTGTGTTGAATATTTTATGGTTCATAACAAACAGAAAGGGGAGGGCAGAATAAAAATAAATAAACGTTTAGTTACATTACCCTAGCACTGACGTTGGTACGGGAATTTTTGCTGCAATAAGAAAACCACTTCCTCTGACATAAGGTCACTCACACTTCTGGGTCTTACCACATCCTCTTAGACAGCTCATCGTGGCTGGGCTGGCTGGGACAGTCAGGACTCCAGACGCTCACACTAAAAGAGGGATGGGAGTCGAGGAGTCACTCCACTCCTCTGTAGGGAGCTGGCCGCGAGTGGGTGCGCAGGAGCGTGCGCGCGGATCCGTGCAGCGCCCAGGGCGGCTGTGCGAAGCCGCCACAGCCTGCGCGCCCCGGCGATTCTCCACCCTGGGGCTCGCCTGGCCGCTCCGTTCCTCTTCCTTCCACCCCCAAAGCGCGCAAGTCCTGCAGAGTCAAACCTCGCGCATCCTCAAGCCTCCAGGGGGAAACGTGACTGAGCCCCGCATCACGTGTGCAGAAACGGCCTATAGTGTCCGAAGGATGCCACCTAGTCGCAGGCCCAGCGGCGCCACGGACAGCGACCGCGGTTGTCCAGGTCGCGCCCCGTCCCTGCCCTGCCCAGCCCATCCCAGCCCATCCCAGCGCCCAGCCGCGCCCCGCCCCGCTCCCGCGGCCCGGCCCCCAGCGGCCAGCCTCCCGCGGCCCCGCCCCCGCCGCCCCAGTACCCGCCCCTCGCGCCTTCGTTTATTTCTCTGCGCGCAGGGACCGGCTGCTTCTTCGCCAGAACCACCCGATCGCTTGCCGTCCCAGCGGCGCCTCTTCATCGCCGCCGCCATGCCCGGAGGTCTGCTTCTCGGGGACGAGGCTCCCAACTTTGAGGCCAATACCACCGTCGGCCGCATCCGTTTCCACGACTTTCTGGGAGACTCGTAAGTGGCCACCGCGTAGCCCTGCTCTGGCCTTGGTTGCGCCTGGACTCGGAGGTGCCTTCCCTATTTCTTCTCCCTTCCGTCCTCCCTGCCGCTCAGCCCCCTGCGCCGCTCGCCCCCTCCCCCGCACCGGTTTCCGCGCGCGCCAGGCCGTGTGGCCCCTGCTCAGCGTCGGCTGCGCCCCCGGGAGCTGGCACCCCTTCGGCCTGCCCTGCGCGAGCCACTGGATCCCTCCAGGCCTCCCCGCCTCCGGCGTGGCTGGGCAAGGCCACGCCAAGGTGGGGGATGGGGAGGACAAAATTGGGTTCTGCAGGTTCTGGAAACTCACTGCCCGTGGGAGGGTTTGTTGTCCGTTGAACTCGTCTTAGTAAACTGCAGGTAGCGTGGTCAGGCCGAGGGCGCAGGGGCGGGTCGGCATTGGCGATCACTTCCCCGGTCTAGTGCCCAGGGTCGCACCGCCCTCCCTCCCACCCTCCGTTCTGGAATTTGCTCCCTGGGGAGGATGGGTGTCTAAAGCCAAAGTCGGAGGACACAGCTGCTGGCTATATGTTACAGGAAGGCCAACGTATTATCTGAGGGTGCAGGGTATTTGCAGGCTTCTGGGCACAAAATGTGAAATTTAAAACCACTAGCTGCCTTATAGGTGGCCGAAAGACTTTTTGTCCAGACCCTCCTTCAATGACCAAGATATGATTTGATAACAGCTTTAGGAAGAGCCAAGAACACTCTGTGTAGGTGTGCCTTCAGAGATTCCAGAACTTGCAACGCTTAGAGGGAAGGACTTTCTGACGCCGTTCAGCTGTAGTAGCCTATTCTTGCTAGTGATGGCCGTTCCAGGCTCCAGGACACGTGTACTCCCCAACTTTGAGACTCTTTTGTTTCCCAGTGGCTTGCGCCTCACTGTCCTCTCCACTTTCTGCCTTGCTTCCAGCACATGAGCTTGCTGATGATAGCCAAATTGATGACCTGTGATCTGACTTGGCAGTTTTGCCATTATGAATAGGAGTAGTGAATCCGTGTTGCCTTTTTTTTTTTTTTTTTTTTTTTGGCAGCTCCTGGATTAGCAAACTGGAAGTGGCTTAGTTTTCATCAGAAGCATTCCAGGCATGTCTAGTTATATTATGGTTCTGGAGCTCTAGTGGTCCCACTACACTGTGGGGCTCCGAGGTTTGACGACAGTTCTTCCCCAGTTTATATCCTTTTTATGTACAGTATCCAGGGAGACAAAGAGAGAGGCTTATGAAATTAATCAATGATTGGACAGGGTTGTGCAGAGAACCAGGGAGAGATTCTTACACATCATGTGCCTACCTGGACCCTTACAACCTCTTACGTCCCTTTTCCAGCCACTGAATAGAGGAAAAAGCTTTGTGAAAGATAGGACTAGGCCAGAAAAAGGTTGAAAAATGGAATATTCAAACCTTGAATGCAGAAAAATACTTTAGAAATACAGCTTATGGCCAGTCTTATACTTAGGATCTAAATAGTAGTATTTCTCCAGTAATCCTTGGGATTTTTAGAGTTGTGTTCCTTCCCATTTCTGCCTGCAGCCCTCACCCCCATGAAACATAAACTATTTCCAGAACTCTTAGCTTGTGTAGATTAAATATTAGCATAAAACGTATTTACTGTGCCAACAATTAGAAATGTCGCTTTTTAAGCTAACCATACTTTTTTGGGGTTTCGTTAATGTTTATTAGCCTCTAGATCCATCTAGATTTGATCAAAAGTGGTACTTTATCAGCCATAGTTAGGAACACGATAAAAATATCTGCATTTATTAACTAATAGACAAGTCTGCCTAGGATCAGGCGTAGTATTCCCTACCTTACCAGGAAGAGAAGTTTGAGCCTTTTATATGTTTATGACGTGGATTTTTGCCTGATTTTTCCAAACTCTATTCTGTATATGATCCCAAGTCAGACTGTCAATTTTTGATCCAGGTATTTTTGAGGAGAAAAAATTAAAATATCTTTCTCTACCTTACCCCTGATCATTGTAAGCAACTAAAGAGGTTGGGTGCTACATTGGGTGAGTTTACTGGATTTTATCACTGTTTCTGTAAGTGGTAGAAGTAGCTTCTTCATAGCACATCTTCACTACGCAAAATATGTGTTTTCCGGGGTCTTCTGGGGCTTAGTAAATGGGAACCATTCTCTTGAAGGAGGAAACCTTTTGTCTTTTGAAAATGGGTAAGAAAGAGAACGGGAGAATGTCACTGAATTACTCTTAAGTGCAGCAGTAGGAAGACTTAGAGGGAAAGGAAGGCCAAGGTGAGACATTCTTGGAGTTTATCCTACTTGTAGCCACGAGGTAAACTGGAGTTTCACTTCTGAGGGAGGGAAGGACCTGAACTGGCTTAAAACCAGTTCCTTTCGCATGATTCAGCAAAACAGTCTCTGCCGACTGACAATGGAAAAAGAACTCCTAACTTTTCTAATTCATCCTCCCTTTTAACAATACAGGAGGAAACGCCCTGTTCCATTTCTTCTCAACTTTTGGAGACCTTCTGTTAAGTCTCATCTAACCATTAAATAGATTGTTTTCCATAGAACCTAAGGCCTAGATTTTACTCATAGTGATATTATCTACTTCAAAAGATATACTCTATGTTCTTCCTTTTGCCCTTCATAATAAAGTGAACATAGTGCACACCTCCACAATCTTAAAAAATATATATTAGCTTTCTTCCCAGTCTTGCCATAGGGCCCTCCATCCTTTTCATAAGAAGATCTTTTTCCTTCTTGAAACCTTGGGAGTTGAGTGGAAGCTGTAAGTGGGAAGGAGGTGCCCTTGTCTTTGCTTGTTCTCTGTACTCAGGGAAACTTCGGAAAGGTCAGCTTGGCATCTAGGCAAGATTTAGTTATCTACTAGTTTAGGATCCTGCCTAAATCATCTGGTTTAGGATAGTTTAAGTTGATGGGGATGTGGAGAACTGAGTGTTAAATTTTCCTTTTCAGTTGAAAGAGTAGTTTCTGTTGCCAAGGAGAAGGAAATGGTACTTCAGCTTTCTTAGTGGCCACTTGAAACGTGCTCAAAATCTATAAAATCTTAGACAATGATGACTTAGATCTTAGTATTTACCTAAGAATTTACTATTGTATAAGACGCACACGTTGTGCCGCCGCTGTGGCTCTAAGGCCTACCACCTTCAGAAGTCGACCTGTGGCAAATGTGGCTACCCTGCCAAGCGCAAGAGAAAGTATAACTGGAGTGCCAAGGCTAAAAGACGAAATACCACCGGAACTGGTCGAATGAGGCACCTAAAAATTGTATACCGCAGATTCAGGCATGGATTCCGTGAAGGAACAACACCTAAACCCAAGAAGGCAGCTGTTGCAGCATCTAGTTCATCTTAAGAATGTCCACGATTAGTCATGCAATAAATGTTCTGGTTTTAAAAAATAAAAAAAAATAAAAAATAAATAAAAAGAATTTACTATTGTAGAAATCTACATTGTAGGCTATCAAAATTCTACCTGCTTGGTCTGAAGAAAGAAGAAAAACTGCAAATGAAGAGATAGGTAAAACTGTTAAGGTGATACTGTTTTGTCAGAGTATAAATATTGGGTGTCCTGTTTGGCAGGTTAGATCAGTAAAGTGGTTTTACAAGATTTTGTATCCACTTGCTTCGAAGAAACCAAGTATCGACTTCAATTTTTACATATAAATAGAGGATAGAAACCTATTTATTTCAGATTACATAATCTGTTTATTATTGTAGTCAGGCATTTGTTTGGATTGAGAGCATACTGGGACATCCATTATTGGAGCTGAATGTCATGGTCTGTGCTAGAAAAAAATGTAGAAAAGGATAAGAAGAAATAATTAAGTTTTTTCAGTAAGTTACTTGGCTTGAACAGCACAGATTTTATTAGCCAAAAAGGAGTCAGGGCGGCACCATAATTATTAAAGGAAGCAACACCTTAAAATTAGTCTTTTTAAATATGTGTCATCTTGAATTTCATATCTTTGATTGAATCAGGCTATAAGCATAGGCTTCTCTAGAGGTAAGTAGATCGAAAAGCATTCCTCAACAGAAAAGCTTAGAAGTAAATACCATCATAAACATTCATTTAAAAAAGAAAGCGTGTTTTTGATTCAGAAGTTGTGACTTTTCATTCTCTGTGATGTTGGTGATAACTCTTCATTCAACTGTGACCTTGTTTTTCTTCCTTTCAGATGGGGCATTCTCTTCTCCCACCCTCGGGACTTTACCCCAGTGTGCACCACAGAGCTTGGCAGAGCTGCAAAGCTGGCACCAGAATTTGCCAAGAGGAATGTTAAGTTGATTGCCCTTTCAATAGACAGTGTTGAGGACCATCTTGCCTGGAGCAAGGTTAGTATCAATTGGCATGTACTTTGAGCCTGAGATTATAGGTCAAGTTATAAATTATAGAGTCCTTGGTTTTTGAGGTTAAGGTACAAGTAAGCTTTAGGGTCAAGGTTCACTGATTATTTGAAAATTTCAGTTGAACCACACAGTGATCACATTGCTAA